GCCCCTTTGCTTGCTTTGCTTTAGGGGGATCGCAGTCACTGGAGCTTCAGATCGGCTCCTGGGACTTTCATCATGCACACTCTGCCAGCGGCTTTGAAGTTGCACATCTGAGAGTGCCTGGCAGAAGTAGTGCATGCTGGAGAAGCAAACGGGGCCGTCCCCCAGCAGGGACGTGAGGACGAACGACTTGTTAATGCAAAGCTTGATTGTTATTTATTGTTGCTATTGGTCTTTCTTTGCGTGCTTTCTCTCTGGGAGAAGGCGAGGTGCTCTGGTAGGGAGCAAAGGGTGTCACCTCGGGTGGTCCCGTGGCCACGTGTGATGGTTACAGACAGGCCTCTCCATTTTGGTTCCTTTTTGCGGCCACGGATTCAATGAATTGCAAAGGTGTCTGGCAGCGAAGGATGAACTGGGCTAGCTGAAAAAGTGCGATGGCTGCAAGGACTGCAGCTTCACCCACACGGTTGTGCTGGACCACCTTCCTCCTTGCTCTTCTTAGCATCCGCATCTTTTTAAAAACAAAACAAAACCCAGATGCTGCCAATTGTGCTGAATCGAGCTCGGATCTTTGGGTTTCATTGCTTTGTTGTACAAACATAAAGGTGCTCTCTCAGGTTGCTAATGAGAGTGCCCTAATCCTATTTATTTTCTCGCACCCTGCCTCCCCCGCACTCGAATCTGGGTTTCTTGATGTGAACAGGTAATTTATTGCATACACCCTGGGACTTGCCGCTGCCTCCAGTTTGTTGAAGCTTGTGAGTCATCCCACCGGGAGCTGGATCCCAGGAAATCCAATTAGCTCAAACAAATTGAGCAAACGTGTTATGGTTTTTAGCCTGGGCAAATTTAGACTTGTGTTGTGAGGTTTTTTTTTTTTTCTTCCCGATTATTTGGATTCCTGGCTGGATGTAAGGTTTCAGCAGCGATGTGATGTTGTGGTATGTTGTTATTGTAAGCAGTGGGATGTCCTCTTATTCACAAGTGGGGAATAATCCCTAAAAACCCTACAAGCTGTTGTTTACCCTAAAAGCCAAGTAGCACATCCCCTACCATGTGTCCGAGCATAGGCAGGGGCTCCCACATCAGTCCGGTGTAGCAAAGGGAGGAGAAAAACGTGCCTGTGCCTGTTGATAGGTAGAGGGTAAATGTGGCTATTGCAGCAAAACAGTAGTGAACTGTACAAAAAGTAACTGAGGAGCATATTTTAAAGGCAAACATAGAGAAGAAGGCATGAGAAAATGTAAGGGTTTGAGTCATGTGCATGTATATCAGTATAGCTCTGTTGACTTTAAAGTTGTCATGTATTTAGAGAGAGAGGTAGTCCCTGATGCTGCAAGCACGCACTCACGTGCTTGAAATTAAGCACAGGCATGAGGATTTACAAGGCAGGATTATGGTTTACTACAGGCTGGCATGCAGTAAATGATGGCGGGATAGATTTGCCCTTTCTTTCCCAAACGGGATGCCCGAGGAGGCGATAGAAACCCAGCAGCAGGCAGGAGATGATCCCCCAGAGAAGGGAGGTGTCTCAGGGGGGGCTGGGCACCCCTGTTGTGTTTTTGACCTTGTGTTTGTTTCCATTGCTGCATCCTGCCCCTTCGCCCAGTGCCCACGGAGCTCATCGGCCAGGAGGTGAGGTAAGGACCCTGCTCCTCCTCGGCGGTGGGAGGGAGGGGAGGCCCCGTGCTGGGACTGGCTTGGGCAAAGCCCTGCAGCTCCTTACAGGCTTGGGAACCTGGGTGAGGGGGGCAAACCCACAGGACTAACGAGGTGGAGTTCTTGCTGGGGAGCTTATACTGGTGGGCACCTCGTGTGCCCAAGTCCTCAGGGCACCACTTGACAACACACATCAGAGGAACCACAGGAGTTAAAGGGATGAAAACATGAGCTCTGGATGGGTCACATTAGACTGAAGACCCTCCAGCCATCCTCTGTCCCATCCCAAATCTAAACCCCAGCAAAACCTCATGCCCATGTTTTGTGTTGCAGGATCATTAGGGACAACATCCTACTAACCAGAGTTTCTTTTCCATGTGTTTTACATCCTCTTATTGCCCCCAAACAATGTTGTGTCACATCAATTCTCATGCCAGATGCTCCTCCTTTGGCCCTATGTCCCCTGTTGAGTCACTGAGGTCCTGTTGTCACTCATTTAGCAGCGCTGGCATGCCGACAGCAGCAGCCAAAAGAGCCGGAGCGAGCCTCTGCAGCCCTACAGAGCTTCTCATTATAAATAACAGCCTCCCCCATCTCTAAGCTCCCTTTAAACCTTGCACAAGGGCTTACACAAGAGGTAGGAGTCTTTAACCTGGACAGGCGCTAATAGCAGGGGCTGCCTTTCCTAGCAGCCTCGGTTAGAAAGCTGTGTGTGTCAAAGAGTAATTGGACCTTAACCAACCCAATTTCAGAGCTTTTCTGCTCCTCCACTCTCCTATTACTCTGGAGAGACAGGAGGAGCGAGCGGCGGGCATGCCACTTCTCCAACTTTTATTGCTGAACACTTGAGTGGAGGTGGTAATTGGAGCAGGTGACATATATAAGGGGCAGGACAGAGTGCTCCACAAAGCCATCTCTGCAGCTGTCACCTAATTGCCTGATTAACTGGACGATTAATCGACTAATTGGAAGCAGGGCTTCGTCTGCATAACAATAAGAGGCCCTTTTGTCAAGCATATGAAGGCTGCGGAGAGGGGGAGAGCGGGTCGGTGCGTGGCTGTTGCGGGGAAGGAGAACAGCTTTAATAGACCCTGAAGCCCCTTTCCCCTTTTGGGAGTCCTGCCAAAATATATGAAACCTCCCCGGAGGAGAGCGGGAACGAGAAAACCTGTCCCAGAACGTGCTGAGCATCACCTCTGTGCTGGTGCTTTTTAAAGGGATTAAATTAACGCACTGAAGCCAGAGACATCCCAAATCGCCACCTGCTTCGGAAAACCTTGATGCTGAACCACTTGGCTCTTTCCTACATACTTTTTACTGCAGGCTTCATTTCACCACATCAAAAATGGGGTGGGGGGGGAATCAGCTTTAATTGATGCAGGAAAGCTTATAAAAGCCTGTAACATCTTCATCAGAGCTGCTCTTGTTTCCCACTGAATAAGGCCTTTTTCAGGCAAGTCACTGGTAACATAAACACCGCTCTGTCTTTTGGCATGCAGTCACTTAAACTGTGTCTGGGGCTGCTCAGGACAGAGCAGCCTCAGTCATGACTGAGGGCAATTAAAATTAAATAGACTTTCAGATCATCAGCAGAGGGAGCAGCGACGGGGGGAGCTCCCTCTTCCAATTACGCACGTTAGCGGGAGGAGATCTTTTTATATATGTCCTCGAGCGTTTTGCTCGGGAAGAGATGCCTCGCTGGCAGGCAAGACCCCAGGCGCGGCGGGGCTCGGGCTGCGTGTGCACACCAAAAAAGCTGGGAGCCGTCCCCAAAGTGATGGTGTTGGAGGATGCTCGGCATGTCGGGTTGAAACTGGGCCACGAGCAAAGGGGACAGCAGGAAGGAGGGACTTCATTCTGCAGGGGCCAGGAGGTGCAGCTTACACTCACGGCCACACATCCACCTCATCTAGAAAGCTGTGTCCCCTTAGGGGACATGCTGCCGTCATTTGCCCTCTTAGCATTAGCTTTGCTAAGCTAAAGCAAGCCGGTCTCCCCGAAGGAATTCCTACTCCCCTGACAGTTCAGTAACCCTTTCCTCTCCCGGTTTTGGGTTGAATTATATTCTTTGAACATAGCGATCTGACTTGTGCAGGGTGTTCTGGGGAGTTGAGCCATTAATAACCCATCGGTGCACCCAGAGCTGCTGCATCCATTAGCGCACTCAGATCCTCCTTATCCTTAGCTTTCTGCAAGGGCTGAGCTCTCTGCTGAGAGCAGAAATTCTGCGTCCCTAAAGCCTGACTTGGCACTTGGTACTATTTAATGTTGTCCTGTGTCTTTTACTCCAAGAATAACAGGCTGGCCAGATCCCCTCTGGGCTGGCGATGCCTTCTCCCTTTGCACTGTCATCAAGAGATTTCATTAGCGCTTCCAACTTCCCGGGCCGAGGGTGATACAGTGCTAAATGAGGTTATTAATCCTACATGACTCCAGAATTCCTCAGACGTCAGTTAAGTCGCTTGGGCATCCTCTAATCAATGCCATAATCTGGTTTTGCCAGAAAATGTTTGCTTTATTGCTTCTTATCTGGAGCCTTTATAGCTCCTGGAGCTGGGACTAATTACCCCTGCAGGGGATGCGTGCGGCCCCGTGTCGAGGGATGCAGCAAGCTGCATTGCTGCAGCCCATGGCAAAGGCAGCAGCGGCTGCGAGCGCTGCCCAGAGCCCCCTGGAAGTCTTTAACTCATCCTCTCCCGCAGAGCAGCAGGAACAAATGCAGGGATTTGGGAGATCTGGTCACCTAAATCCCATCCATTCCCCCAAAAGTGAGGCTCTGAGGTGCTTTTGTTGATTTTTGTCCTGGTGATCGTCGCCCAACGTGCTCTGCCTAAAACCTCCTCGATCCGCTCCCAGCCTGCTCTCTCCAAAAAGCCACCCATTTCTTACTGCAAGGAACCCCAGTTCCCTGATAAGCCATCAAATAAGTGAAAAGCCCGTGTTTCCCTCCTGCACCGGTGGAAAAGAAAACTGAAGAGCGGCAGTGGGGAGGTGGAGTGCAGTAGTTGTCTGCTTTTTAAAAGCTTGCTCTTACACATGCAAATCTTTAATTAAACATATTCATAAAACTATAATGAACCGTTCATCTAATTAAATGGGGTGAGTCATTTCATTAATTTTTAGCAAACTGCAAGGCTGCTCTCCTGCCCTCCTCACTTGGAATTCAAAGGGACAAGCTGAACCATTTGAGGGAAATTATCTTCCCTTTTGCAGTTATTTTGTTCCTTGTGCACAGGACCTGTTTAACTGACCATAGTTTATACACTTCTAATTAAAAATGAATTCTGTGAGTCCTATTGCTGTTCTTGATGGTTGCTTGTTTTCCTCTCAAGCTGTCCAACCCCAGGCTGTAACGGCTCAGGACACATCCGTGGAAAGTATGCAAGACACAGAAGGTGAGGCTGGGTTGGAGGTAGTGGGGATGGAGAAATGTGAGCAAGAAACCCAAAGACAGATGTTCACTGGAGAGAGGCTGGTTCAGAGCAGCAACCGAACTCACCTGCCCCATATCTGCCTACCAAAGAGCCTATTTCTGTCTCTCTGTCAGTTCGTGAGGGATCCTGGGGGATCTGCTTCACCAGGCTAACCGTAGCCTTCCCACAGACCCCAAACCACGGCACAGTACCTGGCTCAGGCACCTAGGGTTGATGGGAGCTGTTGGCAGGCAGAGATTTTGGTCTGCTCAGTGCCTCTATAGGCAGGGAGGGGAAATGAGAGCACGCTGGCTGCCTTTGAGGCCATGCCAGCCTTAACTGATGGTTTTCATCACCCTGTAATGGTGAAATCTGAGCAGTTGGTGGACATGCCCCAGGGGCCAATTCTGCATCCCCTGCCTGGTTTCGTGGTGGCACTGGTGGCCATCACCAACAGTGGTGCTGGGAGCTGTTGGTCCTGCTGCTCCCTGGACAACAACTGCCCATTGGCCAGACTGCTGGAGCGAGCTCAGCATCCTTGCGCTGACTTCTGAGTAAAGTTGAGATAGTTGCAAATAGTCAAGGTCTGAGAGCAGATCTTCTGGCCACGAAGGGTTAAAACAGCTAAAAATCTGGGCTGCTGGATGATTTTTTTTTAGTATTTTTGTATTTGTCCCACTTGCCTTTGCCTAACCGGTTCAGATGCCATAGCCATGCCTTTCTCACTCGGCAATGCCTCCTCTCTGCTCCTTGATCCCATCTGCAGTTTACAAAGCTGCCCTCTAGCAAAGAAGAGGAAACTTCAGGATGCGGAGGCCGAACATCTGGTGTCGAAGAGAAAATCCCATCCGCTCAAGCTGGCCTTGGATGAAGGCTACAACGTCGACAGCGACGGCAGCGAGGAGGCCGAGGTGAAGGAGGAGTCCGGCTCTGACGAGTCGGAGGGGACGCTGGAGGAGGACGAGGCGGAGGCAGTGGAGCAGGAGGAGACCCGCAGCCCCGAGCCGGCAGAAGGTGCTTTATCATTATTGATTGCAGAGCTGTGTTCTGCAGACGAGTAAAAGGGCAGGGAGTGTTAATAACCAGGAGTTATAGATCCTCTGAATTATGTACAGGATGGGTCCTTCAATTATGTTTGGTGGAAGAACAACGGCAAAGCTCTGGTTAAGCTGAGGGGATACGCGCAGAGCATCTCCGGTGTCTTAAAAATGAGAGCTTTTCCATCAGGGATGCTCCCTGGGGAAAGACCCATGGCAAGCATAAAGAAGCTTGCCACGTGGCTCAGAAGATGGCGGGCAAGGCAGCCGGGGTCCCGCATCGGTGCCTTGAGGGGCTCGGCTGCTTTCCCTGGTGCAGGAGCCGTCCCCCTGGCCAGATCCGGCCACTCTCCGAGAGGAGTGACAGGCAACCAAGCTGGGTGTCCAGCCGGGGACCTGGCACTGTGTTGCTCCCTGGTTTGGAGCCCCTGGCTCGGGGAGCACTGGGAGCGAGGGGGCCAGATGGCTGCTGATGGTGGGGGGCTGGAAGCCGCACGCATCTGAGCCCCGCGAAAGCTTCCAGTGGAAATCCCCTTTCTACTTGCCTTTCCCAAATGCAATAAATTAGGCTGCTCCAGGGGTATAACAGTCAGGCTCTGGTTTCAATTAAGCTTAAGTAAGACAAAAAGATGTTTATGAGCTTATACAATTACTTTCTTTTCCTCCTTTTTTCTTTTTCTTTTCCTCCTTTTTTCTTTTTTTCCTCCTTTTTTCTTTTTCTTTTCCTCCTTTTTTCTTTTCCTCCTTTTTTCTTTTCCTCCTTTTTTCTTTTCCTCCTTTTTTCTTTTCCTCCTTTTTTCTTTTCCTCCTTTTTTCTTTTCCTCCTTTTTTCTTTTCCTCCTTTTTTCTTTTTTTTTTCTTTTTTCTTTGTCTTTTCCTTCTTCTTTTCTTTCTTTTCCTTCTTCCCCCGCCCCCTCCCCTCAGAGAGAAGCCCAGCCAAATCGACCCATTATGGACAAAACACAGCAACAAGTACGTCTGGGCCCAGCAAGGCCAACTATAGCAGCTATCAAGAAATAATCGCCAACTCTCTCCTAAACCTAGGCCAAATAGCGGAGGAAACCCTCGCCATCGAAGGGCAGCTGCCTGAAGCTGAGCTGCAGGTCTCCAAGCCGCCGTCCAACGTTGTGCATCTGGTCCACGAGGATGCGGGAGAGGAGTTAGTGGAGGAGGAGTGCGACAAGGAGATCATCATCCAGACGGAGGATGCGGAGGAGGTCATCGAAGTCACCAGCGAACGCAGCAGCGAGTTGTGTCCGGAGCACCGGGATGATGCAAACTGCGAGGAGTCCTGCAAACTGCAAAAGGCTGAAGCAGAGGAAGAGGATGAGGAGGATGATGATGAGGAGGAAGATGAGGAGGAGGAGGAAGAGGAAGAAGAGGAGGAGGAAGAGGAAGAAGAAGAGGAGGACGAAGAGGAGGAGGAGATGGCTCCTGAAGTGATCTGTGAAGAAGCTCCTCACACTTCTCAGGACACCCAGAAAAGCCACTGTGAAGGGCAGTTCAGCCCGAAGCCCGAGTACTCGGTCATCGTGGAGGTCCGGTCAGATGACGACAAAGATGATGACGCCCGCTCCCAGAAATCGGCGGTCACCGACGAGTCAGAGATGTATGACATGATGACGAGGGGGAACCTGGGGCTGCTGGAACAAGCCATCGCACTGAAGGCTGAGCAGGTGAAAATTGTGCGGGAGCCCAGCCGGCTGCCAGGAGAGCACGTAAAGCACTTCCAGGTGGACGAGAAACAGAGCAAACCGCTGGACAGCATCCGAAAGAGCTACTACGGCAAAGGTATGGGGACGAGCCTTCGCGTGTCTCCTTCCTTCCCGTCCCCAGCTGAATTTGTCTGCTCAGCACCACATGAAAACTAGGCTGCTGGGGGGGTTCACAGCCCACAGAGGGAATTTAGCCACAAATCCTCAATGCCCAGAGGGATGGAGACATCCTAGACGTCAACAGTGAATGCACAAAATGATGGTGTCCTCTAGATCTCAGCAGGGGAATTGCCTGGCTAAATTGCCTGTTGGTCTTGAAAACCTCAGCCTGAGCAGTAGAGCTGGTTTAAAATCCAAGTGGGTTTTAAAGTAGTGGTAGGAGTCTGGCCACAGCAACATGAGGGACTTGGCAGGGGCTGCAGAGTCCCCCGGGCGCTGAGCCGGGCTGCCTGCTTGGTCGCTGTGAGCGGCTCCATGCTCCTAGCTGGGTTAGCTGCTCAAATTGCTTTGCTGACTTTAATTTTTGAAACTTCCAGTGTTACAATTCCACCTTCAGGAAGAAAAACCTCCAAACCCAAAGGTTTCTCCCTGTTTCACTGGGAAAATGGTGGGAAGCATCCTCAGCAATTTTTCTCTCCTTTCTACCTCTTCCCCTCCGAATCTGCTAACCTGCTTCCCACTGCCCTTTCCCCACAATCCCTAGATCCCTCAAGACCCGAGAAGCGAGAAATCAAATGTCCTACTCCTGGCTGCGATGGGACCGGCCACGTCACGGGACTCTACCCTCACCATCGCAGCCTCTCTGGTTGTCCGCACAAAGACAGGATCCCTCCCGAGAGTGAGTACCTGGTGGGATAACACGGGTTGCTTAAATCAGTCTGAAGTCTTATCTCCTAGGGGGAATTTCACACCTGATGGGTAGAGCTGTCTCAAGGCCAATGGGCACTCCAAATAGTCCCAAATGATGTGAATTTTATGACTGAGTCCCTAGCACAAGGCTGATATTAATCCTTGGAGTATAACAGAGTTTCTGGCATGGGATGGTGCTTTTCCAAGTTGTTCTGGGATGCTCCTATCCACCAAAGTGTTACCGCTCTTCATGGGAAACTCTGTGGAGATTACTAGGAAGTCCTACCCTTCTTAAAGATTTTTAGCACCATCCTGTGGAGGATGAGGTCCCTTCTCAAGATGTGCTTTAAAAATGATGCCCACCTCCAGAGGTGTTAAGCCATTCCCATCTTTACACTGAATGTCACATATGATATCCCAAATAGAGAAAAATGTTGGGAAGAAGGGGAAACTCTTCTTTCTTGCTGTCCAAATGTGCTGAAGGTGCTGCCGTACAGCAAGGGAGAGGAGTCGTTCAGGACGTGCAGGATAGCTGAGTCTCCTCCTATACTCTCATCACTGTAAAATTCACAAGGTGCTATATTGAGATTCATCTATTCCACAGAAAATATTTATCATCATCATAACAGATTTTTTTATATATATAGAGAGAGGGATATTTTATTTCTACCTCTCTACCAGCATCCTAAATAGCTTTCCCTGTGCATATATATAAAAATCAATGTTGTATGTTTATGATAATGGCATAATAGGAAAAAAAAAAAAGGAGCCCTTCCTTATCAGAAAT